GGCGGTCTCCTGGTCATATGGATATACTGGGAGAAGATACAGCTGTATGCTGCTAAACACGACAATGGCAAACTGCTCATGAACTCCACCGGTAGAGTGGTCGCCGTTTCTGTGGACGCCGACCTGGTGACCATTTTTGTCGACCAGCTGATTGTGGGTGCAGCCACTATTCTCTGTCTGATGGGCGCGCTTGACAAGAATAACTGGAACCTGCCGCGCTACGTGGTCATCCTCTACGGCTCAGTGATACAGTTTCTCAAGTACAACGACTTCTCTGTGAACACGTCTGCCAGCTGCAATCCCGCCACTGATTTTGGACCACGACTGGCCCTCCTCTGCACTGGTAAGTAACCCTACTTGATGTATATGCCGGGTAATATCAAGAGGAGGGTCTCTACGCACTTCCAAAACTTTAACATGTAGAAGATTTTATCTGCCGCCGTTTTCCGTTCCTTCCTAGTAGTTACGATGCACCAGTAAAAATGGCTTTAAGCGAAGCAGACGTAGAGTTGACCTAATATTAGTGAAAGTAACTCTTTGTGGTGACAAAACACACTTTACTCCTAACACTCCAGAACTCTTTCTAGCCATAATTGCCTCTAAGAGAAGGTTTAAAAAAGCAGCAAGAAGGTTCCCCTACCGATAGTGCCAAGTCTCCATAAGGAAAGATAGGCGTAGCGTTGTGGAACTACTACCGATAAAGATACTAAAAGGTCTGCAACAACGCTCTCTAATAGTTTCTCTAATCTCGTTTCATAAATGGGAGGCCCAGGGAATCCTGGTAACAGCATACTATAGTTAGTACGACGGAAGTCAAATGACCAGACTGGTTGTCACGATAATTCGTCTTTTGGTTTACTTTAATTATTTCATTAATTAATTAAACGTATTACTTTATAATTTCAATTATCGCGCGAATTGTCGTTGTTTTATATATATAAGCTGTTGATAATAATTACATTTACTGTTTTCTGTTTTTTCTGTCTATATTTCTCTACATACCTCTCCTGCCCCACGCGTATGACCGCTATTGCCACCGGTCCCAAGTTACACAATTCTAGCCTTTTGATTCCAGTCGTGCCATTTATAATAGACTGTTACTTAAGCACCTCGTTTTCGGCCGCATACCTAATGGTTCGGAAGAATTTTACGCCCATCAATTGACTTAAGTCAAATGTATTCTGCAAGCCCATGCGCAGTTTTTCTTCTAAGGATACCACAAAAAACCCAAAGCACCCAGAATTCTGTAATACAGAACCGGTTGTAGTGGACGGTAAACACGTGGGGCAGCACCCGTGGGCAGGAGAAAAAATTTAATTTATTAAAAAAAAGTGGAAATGTTTGACAAAAATGTAATAAAATGTTACACATAGCAGTAGATGAGCGCGGGATAGCTGGAGGATAAAATAAAAGGAAAAATATTTTAATTTAATAAGCTAATAAAATAATGAATTTAAAAAGGAAGTACCCTTACTAGCGGTCCAATATTGTAAATTTCTGGAGTCTTGGCTTACCTGGTGCTATATTAGACTGTTACATCGTCAACTGATTTTCCCAAACGTATTCTGCGGAGCCCTTTTTAGGTTCTGCTTCCAACCATAGCACGAAAACTCCCAGCATTATGTTCCCGGAACAGGTGGTATTGAGGGTTATACGGGCAAGGTAGCACCCGTACGCAAGAGAGAAAACTAAATAAATAAAGTAAAACAAAGACAGGTAGATAAAAGGCTTATAAAATCTTATAAACAGCAGCAAATAAGCGCCGAATAAGTTCAAAATAAAGTCAACTGAAAAAATAATCATGTCAATTAACCACCGGTAACATTTTATACAATTCTGTAAATATTGGTTTCCTCGGTTTTACTCACAATAGACTGGTACCACTGGTTTCAATCTACACTGATGATGGGAGGGGTGATGGGGACGCCGGTCAATATAGACAGAAGGCGTCTTTACTGAGAGGATTTCGATAACCACAGTGACATTTTACAGCTAATACGCCATCTAGATGAGGAACGAGGTCATCGACATCGTAACATTCAATTAAAGCTATCGGGGATTTGACACGCACAGCAGAAACGGACCGATTGTTTAAGCGTCAAAATTAGCAGGAGAATAATAACAGTAAATGTTTTTTTGTTTCTTTTTTCATTTTCAGGTTGGGGCACCGCCGCCTTTACCCACGGCAACTACGCCTGCTTCGTCCTATTTTTCACACCCTTCTTGTCTGCTATCGTCGGCGTCCTACTCTACGAGCTCTGCATTGGCGTCCATCTGCCCGGTGCTGGAGAAAATTCCAAAAACTACGCAAAGACGCCCGAGCTGCCGAGTTGAGTGGATGCCCAGTCCGCCCCCTCCCCCGGTTCATCTTGATGTCACAGAAATAACATAGCTTGTATTTTTTTATAAGAAGAACATGCACTTCTGCTACTGCTGGTTGTCCCAGGCACAATTTGTCATATCAACAATCCCTATTTATAACAGCTTTCGTCTGAATATATGCGTTTCTTAAAGAGGAGGTCAGTTTTTTATCAATTATGATTAAAAGCAATTTAATGCGGCATGACAGTTTTGTCCCTCTGCAGCTGCGAAGATCGCGAAGTACTGTAAAAGTTCTAATTCGGGTCAAAGTCCTTGAACGGATGTCGACCGTATTTGCTATACAAATGTCTGGAATAGTGCTTAACCATGGGTTACAATGATACCTTGGTAATGGGTCGGCTTTTGAGAACCGCGATAGTCTCCTTAGATTGCCAGCTTTATATGTCTACGGGGATCACGCGTCCAGCTAGCTCGAATGACTCAACTAGCTCCTATTCATGGGGGGGCGGGGCGAGGGCTGGGAGATGGCGTCACCCCACACGTTTTTTCGAAGAAAGTACCTGTTCCTCGGCGAGCAATAGGCCTTCTCCTATAAACTTTATTTCTGCACTCGGTGGGTGGGAGGGGATGATGCATGCTTACCACAGATTAGTCGGCCTTGTGATGGGGAGGGGGTGGCATTTTGCGGATATCCATGGGTAGTGGGCGGATTTATGTGAGCGTTTCGTTCACAGTAAGTGCGCAGGAATTCGAACACCGTTAACAATTACATAAACACTAAACTTGTAAGTGTACCTTGTCTAGACTAACCTGTTGATCGTGGAAGTCGAAGAGCGAGAAAGGTGGGTGTGGAGGAAGGATTGTGAGAAAGCTCTAGCCATCATTGGAGGAAAGGGCGTTTTGCGGAAATTCAGGGGCTGGGAAATTATGTGAAAATGCAGGCCTCCCGAAAAGCGAAGTTGAAGGGTTTCTCAGTTTCCCCTTACCCCTCTGAATGATACATAAATAGAACACATTTGTTTTTTATAACAAGAACAGGTACTTCTGATACTGCAGCTGTCCCCAGGCACAATTTTTCCCATCAACAATCCTCATTTTCTACAGCCTTAATGTAAACATATGCATTTGTAAAAGAGGCGGTCGCATATCTTTTGTTAATAGAAACGTAGAACTGTATGACGGTAAACTCTCAGTTGGGTTGAATGCATCACAATATACTGTTAAATCAAAAAATCCCACCAATATCCTTTACCAGTACTGTCGTAAAATGTATTAATATTTTCCGTATACTGTTCAAACGTAGGCAGGTAGTATTGCCGGCAAAAACAGGGTAGACTAGAAGGTGGCCATTTCTGGCTTATTAGCCAGTCATACCCAAACACCCGAGGCTCGCACTCGCGACACTTTTGATCAGAGTCAAATGCCCCAAGCATTGAGCCACGAGCTCGTAGTCTCGTCGGTTTAGGTCAAGCGATATTGAAAATCGTTGGTGAACGTTCACCCGACCGCTAATGGATCTCATCTCTCTCGCCCTGCCTTGGGCCTCGACAGAGGCCCTGACAGAAGCTGTAAAAGCTAGTAGTAGGCAGATAGTATCGCCGGCAAAGACAAACGTCGTCTACAATGGGCCATTGGGAAGATTACAGCTTTTGAGGCTGAAGCTGGCGGGCAGGTATACTACACCAAGCTACAAGGTAGTGGAGTAGCAGAAGCACCTGCGAGATGACCAAAGTAGCATGTATCACAGAGGATAGCATTACTGCACCCTATTATTATATAGAAACATGTCAGTTTAGTCGAGTCAGGTAAGGAACTTCACAAAAAAACACGAATTAGGAGGCACATTTGATGACCAAACTACTCCAAAATAGCGCAAGACTGACAAACATTGGCACACCCGAAATGACGAACATACACAACTTTGAAATAATAATGAGCAATACTGAGCGAATTTAAAAATTGGAGGAAATATAAAAGGTACTGTGTTGTTTATACGTACCAAATTCTTAAAAAAGGGTGCATGCCAAAAACAGAAAACACTCGCTGTATCGGTGATAAATAAATGCACGTAGGATTTTTAAGTGAAATCACAAACTCGCAATGTTGTATATCTTTAAATAATTTTCTCTTCATTAAGTTACTTCATAAATATGTCTGGTATTAGATTGTACATGGTTTTAGAGCATGCTTAAAATACTGGGTTTTCAAGCTTTTCTTTATAGATTTGAATTATGTTCCATATTTTTATTAAAATCTTTAAAATATAATACTTATTTAAACAACTTAACGTACAATGGAGATTCCAGCTCTTATTTATTATGGAGACGGATGGTCGTCTCTTATTTAAAGTGTAATTCTATTATAAACTCATTACTGATCAAATTAAATCCGCGACAACTATCGAATATTTATATGTCTCTGATCAATAAATCAATTTTCACCTGATAGATTGTCCCTTCTGAAGGCAATTCTTTCAAGTATTCAAGTGAAGAATGCCAGCGCACCTGACCTTTTCCCAAAGTAAGTTTGAAGTAAAAATTACGACTTTGACTAGCTTTTTACTTTTCATTTCCCCAGAAAATAGAAAAAACTGACTTAAATATTTACATTAGAGTGTTTCTCGCTTTAATTTGTTGTAATCTCTGTCCTAAGACCGCAAAGTCACCAAGGAGTAGCTGAATCTGCACTAAGATATTGCAAATATGTTTAATCTTCTGTCAGTGCCGTTTCTGAACTAAAA